TTTGGGCTCAGCCACCCAGCTGGCACTTCCTGTCTCTGCCCTCACCATTCCCTGCAAACAGAAGGATAGAGGAAAACACTGTTTGTGCTCCTACACCCTTAATCAGTTGTCCCAAGGCCCTGAAGTCCCTCTTGAGTTTCCTCAAACTTCCTGCTAGAGCTCCATCACTGCTTACCCAAAAAAAAAACAAAAAACCAACAACAGAAAATAACCCGAGGGCTGGTTAGCCAGGAAAGGAAGCTTTCTCTTTGTATCTCTAACCCAGGCCCAAGGCAGTCACAGACTTCCCCTACGAAGTGGTCCCTGCATTTTGGGCCTTCACTTCCCTTCCAAATGGACAATGACCCATCATTTGCCTATGTAGAAGCTATTTTGACGTAGGGCATAGGCTGACTTTACCTTTGCAACTACTCTGAACAGAGGTTGCTTTCTCAACACTGTCAGGAAGACAACAGCTGCATCCACTGTTGTCTACTCCAACGAGTCACATTAGAAAGATCTATTTACTGGTGACTGTATTTGGAGTTCTGTATTTGAAACAGAGCATTATTTCTGCATGAGGAGCTCACAGCCCGCTGGCAAGGTCATTACAATTAACTCATGCATGCTCATTTGAGAAATGTAAGTGCTAATACTCATTCTGTTGTACAATTTTGGGTTTATATGTAAAAGACTTCTCCATTCTTCTTAATAAAGCTTTGGTTTTTTGTTAAAAATATGAAAAAATGCTACCATTAATAGAGACCTTGAAATACACAAAAGAACACATAATGCAGCAACAATAACAATGGGTTCAATATAAGACAACAGTGGGAATTATTACATAAAATTGAAATTATTTCAATTTCTATCACTGTAGCAAGAAGCCTCCTCAACGACCAAGACTAATTTAGCTCAGTTTTGCATGGTTTGAGCAATGTGCTTTGACAGGGAAAGCAAGCCCTTATAGATTAAATCACTATTACCAATCATCAATGAATACACAAGGCTAATAGATCTATTGATAATTTAGTAACCTATGCAGGAAGTTTACAAGGATGGATGAATTTCTGAGTGAGCCTTTACATATATGGAAGTATATTTCAGGGTGTCTATGAAACCACTGATGTTACACCAGAAAATAATGCGATTGCTTTTCTTTCAGAGGCTTCAGAACAGGCTGCTTCCATATCACAGGAGAAAAGGGCAAATGAAAAGGCAAATATATAGCAATAGAAGTCATATCTTAAGAAGAGACAGAGACAGCTGGAGAACAATTAAGGGCTACAGAAGTAAAATAAAACAGACAAAAATAAATCCAGATGGAATTTTTAGACATATGAGTGTTGATTCTGAGGTGGGCTCTAACATGAATTGCTTTTTTTTTTCTTATTTTTATTTTTATTTTATTTATTTTGGAGGATACAGTGACACAGTAGCACAGGAATAAATATTATTTATCACGGACACTAGAAAAATTGACGTTTGGGAAGGCCACGTGGAAGGGAATAAAGTGAGAAAAGATGGAAGTATGGATGCCAGCTCAGAACAGCAGTTCTAGTAAATGTGTGAAACACTGCACGGGCAGCAAAAATCAAACCAAAACTGTAGACTTGGGCAGAAATTTTCTGTGATGGTGAATTTGTCTTTAAAAGAAAGTACTAATAGCCCAAAATCAGAATTCAGATGACTACAGTTTATCCTGAAGGATAAAGCACAACTAGAAAGTTTGGAACAGGATAGGATAGTGCTGTACTGAAATTATCAATTCCTTGAAAAGTTTGTATCTACTTTTTGTTAAATGTAAACAACAGCGTTCTTTAACTTTTCCGTTCATGACAGTGTGATATTTTACTTATTCATCACAACTTACAAATAAATAAAGCGTTAAAATATCTGAATTTTCTCTGGACAGTCATTCTGTGTGTATTTCCTTTTCGTATGTTTGCACTTTAATTGAAATAGGTGAAAAGTTGTTTGGGGGGTTAAAGTAGTGTCCATATTAAAGCAAATCAAAAGGAAGATTAAAGCCTACAAGTTATGAGGATACAAAGTTACACTTGAGGATGTTCCTCCTCCTCTTGTGTCTTCAAGTACTTATATAAAAAAAACTCTTCCAGAACTCAATTCCCACACCACAGAAAGAAAGTGTGGAAACAGAAGAGACATTACAGATGTTGCAATACCCACATAGCCTGAATGAAGGAGACATCTTTCCTTTGGCAGTGGTGAGGAACAAGAACATGAGTCAAATTCCAACTTCACTTGCATTTTTGTGCACATTTCAGGCCACTCGGTCCTCTTACACTACATCTCCACAATACTGAGAACAGCAAGGAGAATTCTCCACCCAACTTCTCTTGCTGTCAAAACCCTGAATGACATAGCCATGCTAACCAGCTGCAAGCAGGACAGGGAAAGTGCTTATGAAATATGTGAAAGCAGATTTACTGTATAACTGTATATTGGCAAGTTGAATACAATGCTTTTCTGTTACGTCTCACTTATCTTTGTAGGTTATCTGATGGAACTCCACTTGAGTACACTTTGCTGTTTTTCTCTGCTCACAAAAACAGTACAGTTCTTGAAACTGACACAGAACTATTTTCACTCATTTATTTATTTAACTCTAGTTTATCATTTATCGATCAAGAGACTGCAGTAATTCAGCTGGAAAATTTAGCACATGTGTTTCCACAGGTTCCCAACTCCAGTCCACTGAAATTGTGTCAGAGGAGACGCAGGAAAGCCATTTCTCTAATAACAGGCTTTCTGTATTAAGAAGCCAAATCTTGTACCCAGAAGGAAATGTATGGTGGAAATTTTCTCCTGTGCTTTTATGGCAACTGTCTGCTTTCACGTACAGCTGGCATCCTGTGCAGGCTCCACAACACAATCTGTCTTTGCACTGAGTTCACTGTACATTTTTTTTATTTTTAAATCTGCATATATGTGATTATTCTTTCCAGGATTATCTTGGCTTTCAGCATTTGAAATCTGGCAACTATATAATTACTGAGAAAGGCTGCAGAATTCTTTATTATCTGTACACATTTATATTTCTGCTAGTGTAAACTCCAGTTACACAGAATGATTGCTATCACTAGCAGGAAGGACAAGTTTAAATTTGCTTTGTTGCTAGGGCTAAAATAATAGAGGACAATGAATTAACCATGACTGTTCTTATTGGTAAAGTTAAGTGTAGGGAGTGTTTATAGCACAACAGAGAAAAAAAAAAAAGAAAAACAAGAAAAAAAAAAAGCCATGCAAAAGCATTTCAACTGAATACAGAGGAAGAAAAAACAATAATGAAAGACATTATTTTTCTCCTTTCTAACCTGCTGGAAACGTATCAGAAAAACAGCCAAAATTCTCACTGTAAATGATGTTGTCATATTTAAGGAATTTAATCTGAGCAAAATAAAACATTAAGAAAAAAAAAAAGTAACATGCTGCTGTAAAAAGCTGGAGATAGAGGAACTGTGTATGCTAACTATACATTACTGCTTGAAAATGCCAGGTTTGTTATTCCTTTACTAGCCATACTTCCTGGATGTTGAACTACAGAAAATCAGCACCCAGAACATTTCACCTTCCTCACTTCAATTCTAAGTATGTTTTTTCATACTCTTCAGTCTTTTTTTTTTTCCAACTGGAATTCAAGGTTACAAAATGCACCAGCTATCAACAGTTTAACTTCAAAAGGGTAAAGCAAAAGTAGAATTTTCAGTATAAAGAAAACAAAAGAATGCTGGATTCCATAGGTTATCCTAGCTGAGGGACTCTGTGAAGGCACAAGCCAATGCATTTAGTGAAATAACACTGCCCTCTAGTGCTTTTATTAAGCACATTGTTCAAATTTCTTTTTAAACAAAGAAACACAGCAAATCACCACCTTCCTTTTAAAAAATATGTAGCATAAAATGGCTATGCTTATCAGTTCAGATCAGAATTATTTTTTCTAGACATGTCTAACTAGCATACTGGAAAAAAAAAGATTTAATACATGCATATATACAAGCAGCACTTTGTGATGCAAAAATGTGAAGGAATAAGGTGTATGATTTCAGTATATCAGAAAACCTCGGAAATATTATACTAAATAAACTTGGAATATACTTGGAGGAATGTAAACATAAGAAAGAACATGGCACAATATTCATACTGAATTTTGAGAATGGAGCATGAGCCATCCAAATAACTTCATTTTCTAGACCAAGAATTTCTGAGAAGAAGCACCTTGCTGAAAACTACAATATATTGAGACAGTTTTCAATCTTTCTTACAGTATTTACAAGTGAAGCAAACATGCAAAATACCACAAAATCCAGAATAATTACTGAGGTTAGCTCATTTTCTGTGACTCAGAGGTAGATAGAAGAAAATTCAGCAAGGAACAAGCTCTTGATGGAATATTAATGTCTACTTTGAACAACATGGCTTCTGAAATATTATATTTTCTTTGATTGCTATAAAATGTCGGTTTTCCTAACAAGAAATTTATAAAGCCTGTTAAAATATACTGCACTGTATTTATTTTCCCAATGGAAGGTGAAATTTGTGTGGAATATTGAACAACGTGGACCAGGTGAAAATATTCTCCAAGCTTCTAACATGGAGATCATTAGTTCTGCTAAACCTCTGTAATCATACTGTACAAATTGGGCTGTGGCTTCTGCATGCCAGTAACATAACTCATGTTCACATAAAGTCAAGCTTTCTTTGTAAGGTCCTTAGAGCTCCTTTATTCCACTAGAAATCTTTTAGTATGATATTGGTCCATTCTGTGTTCTTAAGTACTATTCTGTGTTCTTAAGCACAACATTTAAAGTTGTACTTAACTACACAAGACTGCTACTATACTGCCATTGTCAGGTCAACAAAGAAAATTGCATCTCCTGTGGACATACTAATTATTTTCAAATTTAATATTTTGTATGATATTGAAGTGTAAACCCTTTTTCAGGTTACCACTCTGTAGTGATTCTCACTTTATTTTGTAAAGAAATTACTGTACTTACTTTTGAGATCTAAATTTCTGGCTCCAGCTGTGCTCTGAGTTGTGATTTTTGTGTCAATCTTTACAGTGTGGAGATTGTTGGTATCCCTTGATATCATCACATTATGCCACTGGTTGTCATTCAGAGGTTTATTAGAACTTCCTTTGATGAGATTTGCACCATTTCCCAAGTCAAACACATAGTGTAAATATCTGCAAAAAGAGAAAAAATTGGAAGTTTCCTTTTCTTTACATACCAAGGAGGAACTAATTAATTAATTTGTCTAATATTTTCCACTTCCTTGTTCTTCTCAGCAGTGGTGGTAAAACGGGATGATAACACTTCCTCGAATGAGGAAGCACCTTTAAGTGAGAGAATTTCAGAGAAATTTATAGGGGCTGAGATGACATCTCAAGTTTCTGGAAAATAATAAGCACTCCTTGTATCAGGAAACAGAGAGAGAGAGAGAGAGAGAGAGAACACAAGGAAGGCTATCAGCTTTGGGGTAAATGCTATTATTATACCTATTACTTATTTTCATATTTTTCAGGCATCTAGCTTCATCTGAAAGAAAAAGTCACAATAAAACACATGAAGCTTAACATGAGGAAACATTCATCAGTCTGAATTAGTCAGGTAAAGATTTGTCCCCAGAGCTTTCCTTTCTTTTCCTCCTGTCTGTATATTTGGAATAGCCTGTTTTTATCAATACACCAATCCATACGTACCCTTTTACTAATTCAACCACAATGAAATCATTTCCATCGCCACTGTTATAAAGTATCAATCCATCCAGAGAGGTGGTTTTGAACTGGAAAAAAAGGTGCATAGATGTATATGCTTGCAATGTGGCCAATGCAACATAACTTGCTTTTGTTTTAAAGGTTACAGGGTCTGCTATGATGTTTCTGAACCCAAATCTTGCATTTAGCTCACAATAATCGATGTCTCCATTTTTACATAAGTCAATGTATGCCATGCCATTAAATGTAAGGCTCTGTAGATGCCCAATGAAATTAGAAGGCACAGAAGACAGGTAGCGGCGTTCTGTTATTATTCCAGTCTCTATGTTGTGGAATTCCAGCCGTGTGTGATCACCAGCCATTTGACCTTAAAACAGTAACAAGAAAACACACATTAGTATTTGAAATAGGAAGTCAAAAAGCACATCTCACAATTAAGCACGTGCAGGAATTCCACACTTAGATTGTGCAGGCCAATTCCTGATCCCAAAGAGGACTTTTTAAAGTCATCCAAACTACTTGTAAAGATCTGAGAGTCTCTTCACCAAGTTTGTTATGTTTAGATAAGACCAACAACAATACTTCTACACTGAGCAATATATCCAACTGTAAATGAAATCCCACACTCTGATTACAGTTAATCAGATAATTTGTTTTATTCTAAGCAAAAGCAATTACCACAACATTAAGAACACAAATGTGAATCTAAGAGCCGGAATTTCATGGAAGAGTATAAGAGTCTTGGGGACATTACTCTATATGCTTTGGTTAAAAGGGCAGGATTTAGCAGGAAGGATTCCTGTTTAAGCAGTCCTAGGTACAGTAGTGCTTGCCTGCTGCAAAATCCTGTCCTGAAATTGTGGTCAGAGAAACTGTGAAAGTAATTAGCTTCGTACTGTGGGGACAAAGTAGGGGAGGAGGCAGTCACAGCCCAAGTGATGCACAAACCTGAAGGTGTGCAGTAAGGGCACATCCAGGTGTCTGTTGTCATCCTGAAAACCACAAGGGACTTGCTTACATCAGAGAAACCACAAGCCTCAAAGGTACCCCGGGTCTTTCTTTGTCATGCATAGCAAAAAGTCTAAAATTTTCAGACTGTATAGCTAACCTGAAGGCAACAATCAATGCTGGTATTGCATGCTGTGTACAAATCAGTATTAAAACTGATTATTAATTTATCCTACATTCAAATTTTCGTCCACTAAAGAGCTCCCTTTTCTAAGATTTTTTTCCAGGTTCAAGAAGTGGGACAGATGTAATGGCATAAAGCTGTTCAATAATGTCCCTACAGTTGCAGTGCACATTGTTGATGGCCAAGCACCCTCTGCACTGAATGAACTACAATAAGAGTGTGTGAGCTCTGACCTGAGCTGGATGTGCTTGGCAATCTTGCAGAAAACTGTGGCATGCTCAGACTTGCAAAGCTTTTATAAGCAAGTGCATGCCTGTGTGAATAGGGCAGCTATCAAGGCAAGGTGAATGTTCATATTTGGGCTTTGCCCAGGGGTATAGATTCACAAATTACTTCAGTTACATAGAATAATATCTTAGGACCTTTCAGACCACACACACACAAAACCAAAAGCAGTTAATAATTTATGTTAAATATTTTCAAGTAGTTTGCTTAGCATAAGGATGCATTCTACACGATTTATAATTTTACTGATACCACTGAACAACATCAGTATCTTAATCTCCAGAAACAGCTTGTTGATGTTCTTATTTCTGAACATCAGTTCTAAATATATGTTTTCCTCTTATATATTACTGAAGGTGGATTCTTCCTTGCAGAAACCAGTAGTAAGTTGTCTTGAACAATGCCAGATGTATAACCTTCTGCAAGGCCAATAGCTGTACACTGGATCACAGCCAGAGAGAGCTGAAGAACAAGTTTTAGAGGAACATTATGTATTCCAGTCTTATATCACTTCAGATGGCACTGCATAAACGTAATGGCAAAAATCCACTAAGCTTTGGCCTGTAGCACAGTATCCTCTTTACATTTACTACCTTAAATGTATTTTTTTTCTTCAGCACAGTAATAAAAAAGTTCCAGAAATCTGGGCTCACATCCCAACTCTCCTCCTAACATTTCAGTTGTACAAAATTGCTTGAGACTTTGTGCTTAGAATTTGGGTCCTTCTGTGCTATTCTTATGTCAGGTGCATATAATGCACTACCTGTTGTGATGCTATGGAACAGGCCTAGTGAATTGCTTTTCATAAGCATAAATTAGGTATCCTTCCCAACATCCAACTATGGTGACCTATTTCATTTCTCATTCATTTCCAGATAATAAAAAAAAAAAGAAAAAAAAAAAAAAAAAAAAAAAAGTGCATCAGTGCTACAAGCATTTAAACTCTTTTCTGCTGAGTAAAATTATCAAAACCATCTGCATGACTTATAATGAAAGCTAGATATGAAAGACTGTTTAGGCATGCATAAATTTATGCATTTGTCAATGGTAAGAAGGAGTGTGCAATACATGGGCAAATATAAAGGACTTCATAACCTGTGAAAAAAGGAAAGTCAAGCTGAATTATTTAATGGCTCCCCTTCCATCTTAAGCTCTCTGGACCTGACAAGCTTTTCTAAACGAGAGAAGAGATGGAATAAAAAAAAATGAAAACAGTCCATGCTGAGAGGAAGCCAGAATTCTGGGCAGGAACTTCGTTTTTTCTTACCTTCATGTAAATTACCAGGGTATATTTTAAACATCTGAAGAAAAATTCTAAACAGCTTAATGTAAGGGCAATCCAACGTGATATGGCAATGTTTCCACTAACCTGTTAAGGAATTCAAAGCTCCTATGTGTTAACTTGTGTTGTATACATTTGAAGATCTACTAGATGGGAGTAAAAACCTAAGCTGGTGAAAGGTTTGGCAATATAATATATTGAGGAAGGGAAAGGGAGAGGGAGAGAGGAGGGGAAAGAAAAGGAAAAAGAAAAGGAAAGGGGAAAAGGGAAAGGAACAAGAAGGAAAGCTGTGGATGCATGGCAACAAAAATTTGCCAAGAAGAAAATGCAATGCTTTTGGTACTAACAGAAAATTTCCCATGATACCAGAGTTGCACGTTCCCAATAGCCCCTTCTCTCACACCAGTCCCCTCCTCACAGATGAAGGAGGACACAGGCTGGCCCTATAACCTCCTGCGGAGATTTTGGGAAGATTTTGTCCATCCAAAGTACTGAGACAACCTTCTCCCTTTGGGTGAAGAGAGTTAAGCATTTGTGGATTATGCACAGGTAGGCAAAAACTGAGAATCATACTGAGTTAACAGGCCAGTTTCTGATACATGCACTGGCATCTGGAAAGGATACGAGTGTTGCACCAGAATGTGGATACTCAGGCAAAAGTTTTCCTTGATTAAGAGGCAACCGAAGTGAAAATACTCACTGGCTTTAACTTGTAGAGACATCTAATTTTAACTATGCTTATCCACAATGAAAAATTATTAGAAAGAAAAATAAAAATGTACAGTCCTGCATTCTTTGCTTATTGCTTCACTGACTACACTCTATATGATAGAAATCTTCCTTTTTCATCATAACCCATCACATATATTTTGAATTTCTAAAGCTGTACTAAGCAGTTGGGACTGATTCCAAAAGAAAAAGAGTACTTTTTGATGATTTTTAAATCTGCATTACATTTAAATAAAAAACTCTAAGGAGCAAAGGAAATTCATATTTAGACACTGTATTTTACTGCATTCCAAACAGCTTCCTCTAACTAGAAACTGTTCCCAAAGTAACTTTATTATCTGAGTCACCAGTTGAAGCAGCAATATGATGCTTTATATATTTCCTTCAGTAGTATGTATTTCTACTCACGTAAAGAAAATAAAAAATTGTGAAATAACTCATTTAAACCATTTTCTTGGGAAAATGATACAAAGGATCATCACATACATGGCATAAATTTTTACTTCACCTTTGGAAGACCTATTAGTAATATCTGATTCTAGAAAATGTATCTTGGAAGCTACATTGACACATCCATAATTATTCTTCTACCAGCAAAACAGTCCTGAGTGCTCTTTTGAAAAAGAACTAAAGGAGGTGCTTTCCTTTTAAAAACCATTAAAATTTTAACCATTTTAACAAAGCCAAAAAATAATGATATATTTTATCTAAACATGAAAGCAAAGGAAAATACTAAATACCTAAAACAAAATTAGGCTCATTGTACTGTGCAAGCAATCAGAGCTAGAAGCCAGATCTGATGCTATTTATAACACATTTGTGAGACTTTATAACAGAATAACCTTCTCAATTATTATTTGTGAGATAAAATACGAATGTATTTGTAACATCTATGAGCATTTGTACCTTTTTTATTCTCACATCAAACTGCAATTCTAGTGTTACAGAAAAACCTGTTGCCTAGTGCTTAGTCATTTAGAACAGCTGAGGCAAGTCTTAAAAACGACAAAATATCTTTCAAATATTTCTGAAATTCCCTCTTGATGGGCTTAGAGTTTAGCCTTAATTTAAACTTAGTATTTTTGCAAAAGTATTTACTTGCCTTTTCATTAGTGATTTATCAAATGATTTTTCTCCAATTACTGTACAAAAATACCTGTTTAAGTCAGCATGAAGGTTTTCATCAATTTTAACAGCAGTGCTAGAGTAACATAAATGTTAAGTCCAATAATAGCATTTGAAGGGGCACAATGTAGATCTTACTCAAGAAAAGAAAGCGAGCATCTTGTTACTTTCAGATGAAGGTATTTTACTTTTGCCATTTTCCCTCTGTGTTCCCCTCCCCACCCAGATAACATGAAGTCACAACGTCATACTACCTGTCATGGCCTGCTGGTCATCCACCATTAACTTTAAACTTTTTCCTCGTCGAACCACACGCACTGTGTGCCACTCATTGTCATTGAGGTTATAGCCAGCAAAAAGGGTTTCTGGACCTTTGCCTGTAGGATATGCCAAACAGTCATTATGCAATCTCTAAATCATTGTACATGTGAACCTCACAGAGAGAGAGAAAGAGAGACTGGCTGGGCAAACATTAAAACTCACCAAAAGTCGTATTAAGCAAGAAAATTAACAAGTATAATCAATTCTCAAAATATAGAGTTACTATGTTAAAACATTTCTTTTCTCAACTTAACTATATAAATGTATTATACGCACACAATAAATTAATCAGGTTGTCATAAATAGGCACAGTCAACATGGATTTAGTTAAGCATTTTCCAGTCATGAGCAACCCTTCAAGAAATAGGATTACTGCAGCCAGAAGGAAAATTTAAGCAAGGGTTTAAAACACTGCTTTTCCGTTCCTTCATTAAAAATAGTTTGGGGGGAAGGTGTAAACAGTTAATGTGCTTGCGCCAAGATTTTCTTCGTCTGCATTGGCTCCTCAGCCTATGCTTATTCATCTGGATGTCTCAGAAGATCACCTATTACATTATTATCTATTCTTACATATTCATACAAATATTTATATTCAGTACCTTCTCATATTAGCTGGCCACCAAATCATACTTTCCTTTTTCACTCTGTGGATAATATCTTCCTGTAATCTATTTTTGTAAGCAGTTAAACAAACATTTTTTTGAACAAATATAATGTTTGGTATGGCACAATGTATTTGCAACTGAAATATTCACAGATATCTAAGAAAGAGAAGATGTTTAAGATCAAGGAAAAATCTCTGAGAAGAAAATGATTAAGGAAATAGCTTTTCCAAGGCAGAGACAAACCTTGCTTTATGTTTTTCAGTTCCTATAACTTACTAAAAACTGATGAAAACAAAAGAAAGATGTATAACGAAGTAACATTTTACATGAAAACTTCAGGACTGCACCGACTCAGGCCATTAACTCCACTAAAATTTTCGAGATGACTATATTCTATGTCAACATTTTTTCAAAAAGGGGTATGTCACTGGTTCTGAAACTCTCCCACGTTTATTTTCAGATTCCTTTTCAACTGATACAGTCTAACTGTGATGGAAGGGATTTATTGATAGGAATACTATAAGATGTTCTCAAAAATCAAAACCCGTCAGCATGCAGGACTGCATGGAGCAAAAAAGCCACTAACAGCTTGATGTTGTTATTCTGTGTACATTACATTTTTTTGTCCGAAATTCTTTTTAACACCATCTACCAGCATTTCTTTTCATTTATGTTTGCTTGCTCTGCTTTTGCACACAGAGCAGTATAATTGTATGTTATTTTGAGCCTGTCAAGATATCTTCTGGAATAAAAACACTGGCTACAGCAAAGGCAGCAAGATTCTAATAATATCATGTTGCCTTCTCTCTATGCTCGTGACTAATCCTCTATATTTGCACAAGGCTAGGGAAAGGGTGCAAATCCAGCAGAAAGAGATGCATGCGTACTCACCAGTGTCAGCTACTTAAACTAAGTTGCTTCTTCAACAAGAGAAAGACCAGTTTTGCATAAAGCTTAAGCAAGTAATATTCTTCTTGGATACAGTCATCAGAGGTAGTCAATAATGCTATCTGATACATTTTTATTACCCTATATCTTACTGGGGACTTCAGTTTTTAAACTAGATTTGGAAGATTTGGGTTTTAAACTAGATTTGGATTTTAAACTAGATTTGGGTTTTAAACTAGATTTGGATTTTAAACTAGATTTGGGTTTTAAACTAGATTTGGAAGACAATGAATAGACTTGCAGTAAATCATCAAATAAAATCAATAAAAATTCCAGTGGAAATAAAATAGTTCATTTAATGCTACTAAATACTTCTTCCTTTATTGGTCAAGCTCATTCTTTGCTCTACTTTTTAGGAGCTGGACTACTTAATCTCCCTTATTTCACATGGAAGACCTAAAAGCATAAAAAAATTATGATTACAACCCACATTAACAACCTGTATTGTCTCTCATTCATGTAAAAGAGCCTTAGTGTGTACGAATATCAAATCCTACTGGGTTGTTCATGCTCACATAGGCAAATATGTCTATTACCTGTTAATGACTAGAGACTTGTATGTTTTTCTCGTACAAATAAATGCATTCCCAAGTTTATTTTCTCTGCAATCACCCTCTAAATGGTAACTCAGATGAAAACTACCTGTGAATTGCCTTCACTTGCAGAGTATGCAATCAGGTATGATGCATGATGGCAACAATGCACTTAAAGCATTTCTGGTCTTTTAGAGCATACTTTTGTATAAAAGTAGCAAATGTGCATGTTAGCACTGTTAGGACAAATTTTTCAAATGGTTAAGCACACCTAGGCACAGAAACTCAAGGAGATCCTTTGTTACCATGCCAGGACTAAGTAGAAAATACTTATTCTTTTATTAGGCAATGTTGGCTAACTCAAACTGTTTAAATCAGTACTCTTCAACAATTTTCAAATATATTGAATTTTAATTTAGAACATAATATTATTCAGGTCATAATAGTTCAAACACTTTTTCTGTCCTGGTTTACAGTGCTTTAGCTTAAAGTGAATTTACTGCAAACCTCAGTCCACTAAAGGACTGACTTGTCAGTCTTATAACTTCACATGAATCTGATTCCATTTACTTCATCAAGCTCACACTGGCAGAAAGCGCTGATGTATTTAAGAAAGAATTGACCTATTTCTTTGTGTCTGGTATAGGAAGAAACAAAAGAGTGTTAGTTTAAAAAATTTCAAACAGATTTTTTTCCTGTGTTTTCTATTTTTTCTTATGTGTCTCTAATCCTAATGTATTCCCCATGCTGTCCTTCCTCAGGAACTCATTCCTTACTTTCTAGATACAAGAGAGTCCATTTGTTTCATGTACCCAGCATTTTCTGACTCTCTCTGATATCAATACCTTAATCATATTTTAAACTTGTCCTTTCAGAGATAGGTTGTAAGATGCAAAAATTCACTAAATGTCTCCTCTTGCTTAAGTAAAAAAAAAATATATTATCAATGTCTATTCACCTTTCAATATGTATTCATCTATTTCTTTTTTAAAAGCTTAAATAACTACAAGATTTTACGTATGCCTACAGTAAGTACATAGTATCAAGCAAACAAATATAGGCACATGTACAGATCCCATATTTGCTCACAGGCCACCACACCAGTAAAATCTTCACATCTATACAAAAGCATTTGTAATTGCTAATACAAATACAAAGAACTTTTTTTTTTTCTTCATAGAAAAATGCAGACTGTGCAGCCAGATGATAGAGGTACGAATCTTGATGATGCAATTCATTATGAAACCAAGTACTATAACCAGTTCTGAGGACAAAAGGTTTTCTATAGTCATTTGAATGTGAAGTCCCAAACACACTAAATTGTATCGTTACTGAGGCAATCAGTGAAGAGAATTATATGGTTCTAGTTTAGCTTACTTTGGTTTTCTCATTTCAAATAAAGAAAGAAGAATGAACCTCCAAAAGAAAAGCCTAATTTTCCAGTAGGCTAAATGTTCCAAATATTTTCTGGAGATTCCTGTTCTTTGTACTAGCTCGTGGGGAGCCTTTTCAGCTCACACATCCAAAATTGTTTGAATCAGGATGGGAATAATTGGCTCCTATGATACCATCAATCACCAGCACAACATGTACCAAACTTGCTTGAATTATTAAATCCTATGATCAAAAGTAGGCATCAACAATGAAATATCAAAAGAAAGGCTAATTAATCGGAGACTTGGAAGGGAGGCTGTATGATACAGGAAATGCTAGACCAACCTACTGAACTGCAGTTGTAGAAAAACTACTTCCATCAGTTTACTGGTTAATGTAAGAAATGTTAGTGGTTTCAGACAAGTTTGCTAACAGACAAGTATACACGTCATGACAGTCAATATCAAGCAGCACTTTCATTTTGAATTTGAGGGAGTAAGTGGACAAGCTTGGAACATGGAAAATATTCAGGAAGGATTCCTCCAGAACCACACACTGAGACACAGACAGATAGGAGAAAGCCTCTTAATCTTTGTTATCCTTTCTGTGGTGGTTGGCTGCAAAATCAGTTCTGGTCTTCTGACCCATTTATTTACAAACTCTAATTTAAAAAGCCAATTAATACAATGAATAAACTGTATTTTAAATGACTGCATCTGTATGCATCATCCAGCAACTGCTCAACTATGCATGTTTCTTATTAATAGAAAAATTTAGTTGCCCTTTAAAGATCAACGGTGTGTGTCAGTTTATCGTTTAAAACAAATTGGCATCAACCACAGGAAGTCATAGCACAGGCCAAAGAAATTCTGTCAGCTGTATTCTCTTCTAGGCACAGATACTTCCACAAGAACAGTACATTCACTGAATCATATCAACGAAACACATCTGCACTTGATCCCCATGTTCCAGCCCACAATAGCTTTATTAAAGGAAAAATTGCCTTTTGAAATTTAACTAATGTATTGTAAATTTAAGAGCATCCTTATTACATTTTAAAACAAAACCATAGATTTTGGAAATTAAAACAAAGCAAATTAAAGGTGCTAACATTTTTCATCAGCCTTCACTCCAGTTGTAGAATGGGTTTTCTCACATCATTCTGAACGACTGAAATAATATGAAAACTGTTTCTGCATGTGCACTCATATGGAAATGCAGAAAGCTAAGGAAGGTCAAAAATTCTGTTGGCTTCCTTTAAACGAGCAACCCACAAACTGACTGCATTTGATACTACACTAGTAAGGAAAGGCAGCGTACATAGTGAGTGGTCCATAGTAGCATATAAAAAAATAGAAAAATAGACTTCAACCAAGTCTGAATACAAAAGGTTTTCTACAGTCTCTTGTCTGTCTTTTTTCTCTATTTTCTGGGAACTTCTTTCCCTGCTCACGATCTGAATTGCTGAGTATCTCCCTTCTCCCCACATTCTCTATCTATTGCCTCAAAAAGCTTCTAACTTGGGCTCTATAGGGCTTACATCCATCCATTAATTTCTTCAGAACTATGAGATAGTAACTGTTGTTGACACAAGTA